GCACCGTGGCATCGGGCACAGCTCGGACCCCCCAGCCCCAGCGAGCACAGCTGCCCAGCCTGCAGTAGGGTTCCTCCCCGGCCTGCGCTCGTGCCCCAAACACCCAGCTTCCTGCTCCTGGGCACAAGACACCCGCCCTAAAACCCAGCAGCAGGCCCTTTCCCCACGTTCTCCCTGACCCCAGCTTGGCTGCCGCCACCTCCATGGGCAGAGCAGCAGCGGGGCTGCCCCATCCCACGCAGGTCCTGCAGACACATTCGTGCTGGGACTGGGGCCGGTCAGTGCTGCTCTGCCCCACTCCCTGCCCCACGCACAGCCCTGGCATGCCCGAGTCAGCCCCGCCAGCCGGGGTGACACTCACCGCTCCCAGAAGAGAAGCTGCCCCAGAACTCCAGCCAGCATTCCCGCAGGCTGGCTGCAGCTCCGATGTTCCGAGTGCAGAGGCAGCGAAGACGAGGTTCATCGCGATGGATTTTTAAAAACTGAAGTCTTTATTAAAAGTTTTATCCAAATTTTGTAACAAAAGATACAAAAGGGCTGGAGATCCTTATTTCTGGGACTAGTCTGACCAATCAAAACCCGACAGTTACTAGGCTAATATCCATACAATCTGCTAAAAATGCAGGGAAAAATTAGAAGTAACTGCTGCTCTGAAACTTCTTTTAAAAATTCCTCTTACATTTATAAGTTACTCAGTTTGCATTTTACAGGACTAGTTCTTCTCCGAATGGTTACAGCTACTGTACAATGCAAGAAACGACAGCAAGAACAGAACAAAGCAACAGAAACTCGGATGTGCTGCAACACACACCACTCCTCTGAAGGAACCGCTGCGAGTCTCGCCTCCGAGCGCTGGGTGCCGACAGATTGCCAGAGCAACCAGCGGGAACGCCACAAAGTGCCAGTGCGTCTGCACCCGTGGAGAGCCTCAACAGCAGGAGAACAGCAGGGACTCCCACCCCAGCGCAGCTCTCCGGCACCCAGCAGCTACCATCCCCTGGATGCCACGGGGCCCGTTCTCCCCAGAAGCCAACGGATGTGCCGGCTGAACCCCTCCAGGCAGAGGAAGGGTGGGCAAGGGTTTGGAAACCCTCCGGCAGGGAGCTACGCCTGGCTGAACCCCCCCCTTCCTCCTCCAGAGACTGCAGCGTGGGGGGACGAGTGTTGTGCGGCAGCGTCTGCGCTCCCGCAGAGCACAGACACGAGTGGGAGCTGGATGCCGGACGCGCTTCTCTCCACGCTGGAAAGGAAAGAGGAGGGTGCACACCAGGCTAGCGCTGAGGCGACTGTCCAGAGCTGGTACTGCCAGCAGAAGGACCCTGAGAATATATAGGCTAACACGGTCTCCCGGGGAACGCCGAGTTAGGTGCATCACAGTGATACTGGTTGAACGTGTTCTGTACAGTGCGAAACGGAGTTGGACAGAAGCGCAGTATCCCTTAACCTGCTCTTTCCTATCTCTTCCTAAAGGCAGAGGCTGCTACGGGGTGACAAGAAGCCTCATCACAGCAAAGACCCTCACAGCCGCAAACATCAGGCTTACTTGGACATCCAAGTGAAAGTTATTCGGTGGCCACTGGGAAAAATATTCCAGTTTATATTAAAAAAAAAAATAGGAAAGCAAGTGCAGGGCTACTGCAAGGTGCATCGTCAGAGGTACCAGGTCTGGCAAGCAGCCAACCCCACCTCCCCAAGACCCCAGGCACCCCACATCCCCAGCACTAAAGCATCTTCAGGCATCTCCAGAGATCACGTCACGGTGAGGGCTCATCAGAGACCTCAGAGATCATCGCTTTGAGTCCGTTTAGATGAACCAGATTGGCACCCACTGCTCAAGGCGGCTCAAGCGTCTTCAGGAAGCTGGTCTGAGGGCACCGGGACAGCAACCGCCCTCTGTGCTGCCGGGCAGGGTGGCGGGCTGGAGCTCTGGGTCCAGTGTGGCACGGCTGATTTCAGACACGAAAGATACCCTAAGGAGGACTTTTTTTGTCTTTTTTTTTTTTTTTTTTTTTTTTGCAAACTGCTGCACAAACCACAGAACGGAGAAAGCCTTTGGTCATGAGATACTTGATACTTGTGAGAAAGTGAGCCTTGTATGGAAGATTCCCCTGAATGCCTACAGTATTCTACATCTTAAAAAAATATATTGTGGACGCTGCAGCCATACAAAGGGGGGAGGAGTGGGAGACGGGGATTTACAGTCTCACACAGACACAACAGGGAGGTTAAGACAAGCACAGTCATAGTCTGTAAAACTGATTGGCTCGCTCGGATCAGTCATCCTCATCGTCCTCTTCGTCTTCTGGATCTTCCTCTCCTTCATCCTCTAGATTTCGTTTTCTCTTTTCCCCTCGCGGAAGGTCTGCAAAGAGAGGCGAAGCGTGAAGCGCGGTTCAGTCTTGCGGAACAGCATTTGAACTGTGGCTTCAAGCTGCGTCAGCCACAGCTCGCTGGCGAACAAGCACAGGCTAGACAGGCACCACCACGGAGCGGAGATCCACCCTGCCCAGTTTCTCATGGCACCCAGAAAAGCAGAGACTAGCACGAGACATGAACTATTTTCTATGCCCTCCAAGCATCCCACGTTTCAACGGCCGCCTGAACACGGGCTTTTTTTTGCTGAGCACCCCCAAAAACGTAGCGTCTGCAGAATCCGGTCACTTCTGACGAGGCTCATACAAGACCATCTGAAGGCACGCCAGCCGCTATACTCTGCCAACACTCAGTCAGGTATTTATAGTTCGTTACCACCAGAGGAGTCTGGATTCAAGTCAAGAAGCTCAGGCCTACCCTCTCCAGCTGAGAGAGGAACGTGTCTCTCCCACAGCATTTCCTCACGCACACATGAGCTCCTGTGACAGGAGCCCTGCTCCTGCACGGACTACCAGTTCCAGCTACACAGAACTGGTTTTCTAGGCAACTTCCCTCTTTAATATCTGGCAGGCTTGGCCAGCTTGGTTGGTTTAGGAGGCATTGAAACCCGTTTCCCCATCGCCTCCATGTGAGCCTTCGGTTATACACACTACTCGATAGCCAGCTGAGGTATAAGCAACAGCTCCGGCAGCGCCCGTCAGCAGCAACGCTGCGCTGTCAGTCAGGGAAAAGCTGCTGGCAACAGCGCTGCACTGAAGCTCTACAAGCCAGCAAATGTGCGAGGCTGCGGAGGCAGCTGCGCAAGCACTTTGTTAAGATTCGACTCACCATCATCAGCTTCATCCTCTTCATCATCCTCACCATCTTCCTCCTCATCTTCCTCCTGGAGTCAAAAGAAGACGCTTTGTCACAAGAACCACAATCATAGAATCACAGACCGGTTTGGGTTGGAAGGGACCTCAAAGCCCATCCAGTTCCAACCCCCCTGCCATGGGCAGGGACACCTTCCACTAGACCAGGTTGCTCCAAGCCTCATCCAGCCTGGCCTTGAAGACATCCAGGGATGGGGCATCCACAACATCTCTGGGCAACCTGTTCCAGTGCCTCACCACCCTCTCTGTGAAGAATTTCTTCCTGAATTTTTTTTTTTATATATTTTTCCATATATTTACAGTGCTGTCCCCCTTGGGAAGAAATATAATTTTTTCTGGTGTTTAGGAAGTTACTTCTAGGGAGCATTAAAGTTTGGTGAGAGAGCCCAAGATCATAGAATCAATCCCACGAGCAAGCAGCACCTTCCTTCACCCCTGCTCCCGTCCTACTCTAGCCTCAGGGTGGCAGGAGCAGCTGACCAGGGAGCTGCTGTTGGTTCCTAAATAGCTGCCCTACGGAGGGGGCTCTACGGCTCTATCGCTTGAAGCCACAGGAATTACCAGGCCGAGCAATAAACAAGTCTCAGATGACAAACTCTGTGGACCAAAAGTCCAAATGGGCACAGGAAAGCCAGGGGACATGGCAGCCCTCCTCAGATCTGCCACTGAGAGGCAGCTGTGACATCTGCTCAGCTGGGTCACCACATTACGGGACAAACTCATTTCCTAACACAGCAACGTGGTACTGCAGAAAGCCTCACCTCATCATCTACTCCATCCTCCTCCTCTTCACCTTCCAGATCATCATCTTCATCTTCTTCATCATCGATGACTTCTTCATCCAAATCATCTTCATCATCATCATCATCCTCTTCCTCACCTTCTACCAAAGGGAGAGGGAGGTGTTAGTTCCCAAATACTCACCACTCGCACCTCAACCCCAGTGCTACGTGAGCCACGGGCAGGAAATCACACCGAACAAGCATGCACAGGGAGTGCCAGCAACAAGCCCCGTCAGCTTGCAACAAGCCTCATTTCTTACGCAGCCGGCCAAAGGAGGGAGCAGGGTGGCGAGTTACAATCACCTTTTATTAAGCAACACAACTGTGCAGAAAGGGAAAAGGGGTTGTTACCCAGCAAGAAAACCAAGAGGAGAAAATCCTCACCTTCCCCATTCTCATACTCGTCTTCCAGCCCATCCCCATCTGCTTCAGGGTCTGAGTCAGGGGCTTCCTGGTCATCAGCATCAAATCCATCTAGGTAGGTGAGCTGGGGCAGAAGGGTGAACACGCTCTCCCGGTAGTTGATGAGCATTGTCACCTCACAGTTGAAGAGATCCAGACTATGCAGATTTGGCAACTTTTTCTGCAAAGATCAATTTGTCAGATTATGTACAAGTTCACACTGTTTGAAGACCCAGCACTAGCACAGAAGTGGCTTTGCATGCAACATTTGCACCGTGTGCTCCTCAGACGGAGAGAAGTTCCTGCTCTTGCTAACTGTAGGCAAAGACGATTTCTTTTCAGCTCCTCTGTCCTAGTTTCCCCTCCTTGGAGCCAGCTCCTTGTGAAACCATTTGCAAATCTTACTCCCTTCGGAATGGGGTGGGCAGCAAGCACAGGAAGCCCAGCTTCCCCAGCAGAAGGAATTGCTGAGCCAGACTCATCCTGCCTGAAACATCAGGCAAAATACCCGAGAGCAGAACACAGGGACCTGCAGACTGTGCCTGCCTGCCTTTCAGTGCGGCCCCCGCAGCTCTCCCGCTCAGGCCATCGCATCGTGCACCAGGCCCCTCCAGCTGGTTCTGGAGGGGATGAAGGGACCAAAGGCAACAGCTAATGAGGCAAACGCCCCAGATCACACCTTTTGGCTACAGAGTCTGGATCACACAACAAACAGCTCCTTCAGGGCAGTTCAGACACAATGGGAATTCCCTGCAGCAGGTGCTGTGACAGCACCCAAGGCAAGAGGGTCCCAGCCCAGCACTAAGGTGCCTTTGGACCGATGCGATGGACACCCTAACTGGTGTCTGAACAACTCATCTCCATGACACTCCAGGTGCCACCTACCTCAAATTGCATCCGACCCATTAATGGTCCTTTCTCAGATGGACACTGAGCACTGCATCCACAGTTTTACTCATCCAGCCCAATTTCATGCTTCTTTTAGCAACTGGCTGCTGGTTTTCCAGACAGAGGAGCCATTAACTATCAGCCCAGCCTCAAACTGGACCCACTCATCTGTTCCCATCAGAACCACGAAGTGCTGTTGGAACAGTTACCAAGATGTTGGACTTGTGCTGCACAGACACACTCCCCAGAGGAAGCAACATCATCCTTTCGATTCCATCTCAGCCTTCCACTCACCAAGGGCTCCAGGGTATTGATGTCTTTGATCTTGTTGCCACTTAGATTCAAGTGTGTCAGGTTAGGAGTTCTCTCTGCTAGAACTTCAAGGCCACCAGAAATCCTGTTATCACTCAGCTCCAGCTGCCAGAAGGGAATATCACATGGTCACAAAGTATCTTGGCTTGTGACACGGGGAATAAAATTGCCCTGAAAAGCAGACTACAATGGCCACCCAAGTTCCAGACCCAGTTTGTTAGACCACGTGTAGAGCAGCAGTTCCAAGTATTCACCTAAAACCCCTTTCCCGGAGTAACAGAGCACTCCCAGCCACTGCCGTACAGCAGGACACAGGGACATGTCCCCTTAGCTGTAAACACGTGTTCTAAAGTCCAAAATATTTATGCTACTGAAGCTTCTGACAGTAACACAACAGCAAAAGCAGGAGAGAAAGGATGTTAAACATGTAATGAGCTCAAAAGCATTTTGTTGCATGCTAAAAAACCTCCTCTCTCACTCGCTCAGGTTGTAGGCTGCAGCAGAAAAAGCAACATCAAATGGTCTTTTTCTGGCAGATGCAGGAAAAACAACTGTCACCAGGGACAGGGCAGCAGAAGTCTCCGAGCAAGGACTGCTGGAGATGGGACCCACAGGTCTGACTCACCTTCCGGAGTTTGTTAAGTTTGGGGAGATTGGAGACGGACAGCAAGTTGATGTTGATCATGCTGAGGAACTCCAGGTTCTCGAAATCCGAAGAGAGACCAACGATCTTCCCATCGTCCGAACGGCAGTTATCGAGAACTAGCTCCTTCACCTGCCAAGAGACACCCAGCAGCTGTCATCACACACGGCTAAGTCTCACCCCGAGATACCTGAAGCCACAGGTGCCTGAAGGTCCTCCTCACTCCCCTTACGGGACACACGAGATCTTAAAGCCAAACAACTTTTGTGAGGGCACAAGGTGAGAATCGCTCATGGTGGTTAGGACTTCACCCTTGAAACGCGAGCCGTGCAACACGCGACCTCTGCACCACCCCACACCCTGTGGCTCCAGCCAAGGTCCACCTGCTCCACTAACAACCATTACGGGGTTGAGGTTGCATCGAAACCTTTCATGCACAGTTATCAAAAAGCTTTTGAAGTCACACTTCACTAACAAGAGGCCAAACAAGGTCACCTGGTTTTGTCCCCTTCAACTTTCTCCCTCACGGCACGGGGGTGCTGGAAAACCTGCCTCCAAAGTGACAGTGACACTTCCGTCTAGGCGTGTCTCCAAGCAGGTGAGCTCAACTTCAGGCTCAGCGCAGGACACCAATGGCATCTTGATCTTTTGCCCAGCACAGACTACGCACACGCGCCCTCGCTACCCAGTAATTCAGCATAAAAATCAACCCCCTGTGGCATTAGGGCCATGAAGCACCAGCACAGAACTGCTCCCCCCAGGCACCTGGAGGGTAAACATACCTGGCATCCCCCTCTCCCCCAAAGCATGGGTGAGTGCTCAAGACCCAGCTCCCACAGGCCACTTCCAAAACTTTCTTTCACCCCACACATTCTCTGCAGCAAGATGCAAAAATCAGCCTTGGCCAGAAGGCTCGTGACGCCCTCCAAATTCCCCCTTCACAGCGCTCCCATTTCACCTCTTGCTCAGATCAGCCAACTATTAGGGAGGCATTTTAAAATCTCTCGCCCTTACGGGCAGTTTCAGGGCTGGCGTGCCACCTTCGCTCGCAGCACAAGCTCCAAATGAATTAACGCTTAAGCCTCCAGAAGTGGCATCGCTGGTCAGGCTCTGAGTTGAGCTGCAAACAGGCTCAGCCAGGCGTTTTGCAGCTGAGCTCATTTTGCTCCCAACACCCCAGACAAGACTCAACTGAACCGAGACTGTCCCCACGGTGGGTGGAAAAGCAGCCAAAGCCAGCCCTCCGCTGCTGTTGGTGTGGGCCCGGCAGCGAGCCCAAGCGCTATCGGGTCACGAACCAACCTGACCCAGACCAGCTTTGGCCCGGACCAGACTCGTGTCCTGGACTGCAGGGCCAGCCCTGCGGCAGGACAAAGCAGCCAGGACAGCTTCTCCCAGCAGCAACACTGGCTCACACCGGCCTCAGTCCCGGGGCACGCCGCTCTGACCCTGCTCACCCCTGCAGCCGGTCGCTCCGCTCCTGGAGTCAAACTAGAGGAGACCCGCAGCTTCAGAGGGACACATCTACTCCCCAAATCCTTCTTGTGCTGCAAATCCCTTTGCTACCCACAAAGCGTCTTTGCTCTCTACCAAGAGCTCCACTTAGAGCCCATTTTCCTCAGGCCCCCAGCTGCTGCGACAGGGCGACCCCAGGCC